TTTGCTGGTCAATATAAGATACTGTTTTGCTTAACCCAAGCATTATTATTCTTGAATCAAGAAAAAGTCAGCTTAAAGCAAGATAGAGAAAATTCTTGGCGGCAAATTCAAGAATTATCATGCTTGATCCAAACTACTTTTTTTTTTAGTGTAAGGTCTGCTTCGTGGACCCCTCGTGGGTTAATCTATGAAGTGGGCTCAGTGGCGAGGCGTGAGTGATCGATTATCGACATTTCCCCTTTTGAAGCTATGGTGAAGAATCGATTATTAAGATGTTCATTGCGAACACCCTGCTTATCGATCCTTTGCCACAGGTTTAAATGGCAGATAAATCGATCTATCGAAAAGCATGCCACGCCACTGAGTGGGCTCATCTGGGGACCGTATTCTATTGATATCCAAAATCGAGTTTCCAAACTGTGAGAGAAGATGAAGTATAAGAAATTAATAATGAGCCCCCAGGCTAAGAAATTGAAGCAATCAATAATAATGATATTTTAAAATGAGGAAAGATACATTTTCATTAAATTAGTGTTTCATGAGGAAAAATATGCTCAGAATTATCGCGGGAGTCAATAATAATGATACTTTACCATGAGGAAGAAAGCAATTTTATAAAGATTAATTCTTGACTCACTAAAAAAATCTTTGGAACCAAATGAGTAAGGGGAAGAAAGTAGAAATAGAAGTAAAGAACGAAAAAAACCTGGCTAAACCACACAAACGAACGTGTTGTATGAACATGGAACTGCTAATGGTCGGCAATAAGCGGAAAAACCAGGCAGAGAAATTGAGGGTGGAGAAATACCTCTGCATGAGAAAGGGTAGCGAATTGTGAAGGCTCATAATGAGCGAGGGGAGGGGGGTGATATTGTGAAAGGGGTAGCGAAAACGACTAGAGTTAGGTCCCGTTATGCGTTATGCGAAACTTTCAGAATTTTATGTATAGAAGATTTTCTCGAGCAATTACCCTACGCTTTTTGGTGTGAACATTAAACACGATTTATACAACGAAAATTACTGAAAGTAACTACTAACCAAAATACTACATTTTCTGATGCAATTCAGAATCCCTGCTCGTATAAGAAACACTCGAGTCGAACGCATACTGAACGTTAAGCAAACAGTTTAGCTGTTGCAAGTTGTTCATACTTTGGAACTTTGAACTACATAGGACGGGAAACGGGAAAACGCGACGATTGAGGAGCGCATGGTGGCGTACGCGCAATGCGTGAAGTATCCATGCAGTCTTGCAGGCACCGACGGCGCGCGCGCCGCACGGTGGAGTACGCGCAACGTCTGAAGTACTCGTAGAGTCTTGCAGGCGCTAACATGCGTTCTGCGCCGATCGCAGTGTTTAGCGCGACCATTCAAACTCGCGCAGCATTTTTCAACTTGTCATTTTAAAGTTTTTTGCACAATTACACTCTGAATGGACCATCTGTCATTTACTCTGATAAAAAAAAAAAGAAAAAAAAGAATTAAAAACCACACAAAATCCAACTAATTTTCTTCCCTTCATTCATAACTGGTAATGGTTGACAAAAAGCGGAAGGGCCAGGAAGGGAAATCGGGGTTGGAGGAAGGGTAACGGATTGAATTGGCGCAGAATGAGCAAGGGGGGTGGGGGTTGTTGTGGAGGGGATAGCGGACACGCACAGCGTAAGATACCGTGTTGCGTCGTGCGAAACTCTTGTCATTTTATATATGTAACAAAGATTTGTCGTTGTTTTAAAGTAGTGTTAACATTTTGCTCTTTATCTTTATACTTCGAAAAGAGGGATCATACTACATCCGCGATCATGAATCACTCTTATTTGAATTTATTCACTGTTTTGAACCTCTTGATGGTCAGATAAAATGTATCCATCAGCTGATTACTTGCAGTAATTTTCTTACTGATGAAAAAAGTACGAGGGATGTAAAATTTAAAGTATTAGTTTATGTTATTATTGCTCAGTAACAAGTCTTTGCGTTTAACGTAGTGGCATTTCTGAGCATAAAAAGGAATATTTGCTTTGTATGCGACAAAATCGTGATGCACGTTGCTTGTTATCTTGTTGATCATTGTTTGATACCTTCAGACTAATGATGCGCCCTTTATTTCATTCGATTATTGCTCCAAGCGTTTTTGCTTTCGAGAAAAAAATATAGTGCTATTATTTCATGCTTCACAGCATGGAATAATGACACGTTTGGCCGTGTGTTTAAGAGCGTACGACTAACACAGCGCATAGTTGTCAATCCCTCTCCTCCATCCCACAATAAATTGAACTCATCCGTGCTAAAAGGAACTATGTGCGCATAGGGATGGCATGTAACATAGCTCCTTTCAGCATAAACACGCCCAATTGCACACTTGCGGCGAATGCGCAAAAAAGATCCTCAGATCCACCAACGGATTGTGATGCCTTTGTAACGGAAAATGACTACTATAAATTCCTGACACTGAAAAGGAACAGCTATCAATACACTTCTCGCTTGCATAATGAATAAATCAATGCATAAGAGGAGAGCATAATCGGACGTATTTCTATTAAACAAAACTACGTGCATTATGACGTGAGTCCTGTTATGCACATATTCTTATGGGTCTCAGGGCTCACGTCTTGATACACATAGTTCCGTTGGATAGAAATACGTCCAATCAGTATCCGCGCGGTCCAGATTTAGCTCACCTGCGAATGGCATCCGCTAGGGAGGCGATTCAGATTGCACGATTGCAATTATACCTACACTGCCTACCGTCTAACACGCCTACAGGAGCTGGAGTATGAGCGATTTTTGCGGAGGAAATGTGCAATACACTACGCTGTATATGAAAAGGAGCGTCATTTAGTTTTACAGACCAGCGGGCCGATTGTTGATATTGATAGACAAAGCTATAGACAAAGAAGGCATAAGGAGTATGGAGCGATCCTATTGGTTAAAATAGGTGGCTCTCATAAACTAAGGGAGAAAATGATGGACTAAATAAAGGAACTCTTGTGGGTCGCAGTTAGTTAGTTTATTATACCTACCTCCGTTGTCCATTGCAACCGTCCGCTTCCACCAATAGGATCCCTCCAAATTAATTTAATTTGTTCTTCCCAATTTATTTCACATTATTTTTTCATCTCTTTTCCCACAAATGTGAACTGTTACAATACATTAGGTTGCAGTTTACCTCTCCTTTGCTTTGTGACGCACACTCAAAATCTCTTTACCTTCGGGAGTTACGTAGGAGCTGAGCTAGACGCTCCCCTACAGCAATTTAGAACAGTGAAACATAACGGTCAATAATTGCGAAACAAAGTAGGTGAGGTGATCTGCACGACTAATAAAAATTGAGTGCAGAAACCGAGTTGACGGTTTTCTGGAGACTAAGTCACTCATCTCGAGTACCTTTCCCCAGATTATTAAAAAATATCGATCGATGGTCCCAGCAAATGGTACGTACGCCTTCTCACGGAACTCGAGATAAATCCGAAGCGTTCGGATCTCTCGGCAAATGAGGTGTGGGAGGGCCGTTCTCTGGAGTGGCCGGCTCGTGTAATTATAATAAATGGATTTGTTTGCCTACTCGCTCGTTTTTACGAGTGTTTTGACGTTGTGATTGGTGACTGCGATGAAGCTGGCGCGCGGAGCGGTCGGAAGCCGGCTCGCCTTATTTGGGGGGGCCTAACGCAACCGCCGAACGCCGATGACCGAGATAGCCAAGGCTTGGCCCGCACCGCTGCGCTTTCACGGCGGAGAGCAGCCTGTGGTTTCTTGACCGAAACTTGAAAATTTGGGAGCTGATCTTGTCGCACGATCTGATCTTACTCTATAATATAAAGTGTAAGGATAACGCCTGATGCATAACGCCAGAGGCGAGAAGCGCATCGAGGTGTTGGACCGCGGAGCGGTCAGAGGGCGTGGCCCCTTCGTTACAAGCTAATGGACCACTAGACGAGCTACAGAGTTATATGTTAATTAACCAAAATATCACGTAGAACACGATTTGCGATACCATGGGGCTAACTTCATCCCATTTTCTTCTTCTGTTCAATTCTCATGTGTTCACTCACAGGGCCGGATTTACCTACTTGCCGCCCACGGGCCGCTAGTAATTTGCCGCCCCCTTCTCATTCGTTTTGAAACATCAATGAAAACCATCAAATGAACGTGCCAGCGGGAGAGGGGTGCACAAGACGCGTTAACTGGTGTTGAACACATTTTTTGGGAAAGCCCTGTCAACACTACCAGCAAAAGTTCACGGAACTTTGCGAGAAAGATAAGTTTCGTAAACCTATCTCTGTGTGGACAAGGCCTTCCGTTCATAAGAAATGAACGAAAAAATTATGAAAGAACAAACATAAATGTGGATTAATGATTTTAACTTCCGCCGTCGCGCCTCGCAGACCGCACTGTGTTTGACGCAGTGCGTGAAGTATCCACGCAGTCTTGTAGGCGCTATGCGTCTCACGCTGACCGCACTGTGTTTGTCGCAATGCGTGAGGTATTCATTCATTCTTGTAGGCGCTATCCGTTTCACGCTGTCCGCAATGACCGCACTGTGTTTGATGCAATGCGTGAAGTATTCGTGCAGTCTTGTAGGCGCTAATATGTGTTACATGCCGATTGCCGCGCCGAGGGCTTCTCCTTTTCATCTCAAGTCCTCGTCATCATTTCTCTCGCCGCCGGTCGGTTTGGCCGTTCCAGGCCAAATTGCGTGTTTGGTTTCTCTCTTAACGACTAATTAAGGTGCTGCCTCTTATATCACTGAAAGACGACAAAAGCAGAAATTACTATACTACCGGAAAATTAGAGATTTTGTCGCCTTTTCTCGTTTATATAACTTTTTTTCTAAATCCGAATTTTGTTGTATACCTACATTTTAACAAATTGCAAAATTTGCCGCCCCCTATAGATTTGCCGCCACGGGCCGCGGCCCATGTGGCCACCATCTTGATCCGGCCCTGTTCACTCACTGTAATTTTATGATTTGTATCATCTTAAAAATCAATTCCGTGTTTCAGGTCTCCATTTCCACGTGGTGGGCGAAGGAGTGGTCAGACTGAAAAGCCAGAGGCAAGAGCGGATATACGATAAGGAGAATTACATCGATTTCCGGATGCGACTTCTAGGCGAGCCTGGTAAGTTCACAACTCAACTTTCGAGCCGATCTTTGCACCTTCGGCTCTGGAAAAAGAAATCTTAAATTATGATTAAATAATTGAGCCCCACGAGTGGACCAATAACTCAAAAGCTAATGAAGCTGAGATTAATGATAGGTTTCTTACAATTAAGAGAAACTTCTGATCAGGTTGGATACCAGCTAGGAGCAAGGTAGTGCGCACGACGGAGAGTAACAATTCACGCTAATGTTCTTTCGGTCGAGAGATTTTTGTATTTTCTAGATAAATAAGTTACCGATACTCAATTATGATCCATGGAACGATTGAGATTAGAAAAATAAGCATTTTTCGTATTCACGCTTTAAAGTACTTCCGTGGTATAAATTATGATGCAAAAATAAAGAGTGTTTTGTATTTGTAAAAGTAGAAACTACGTTAGACGACAGCAACCCTGCTTGGATAAAAAAATCATACCTAGATAGTTTGACTGCATATATGAACATGATCTTCATAGAATCCGGCAATCAGCACTAGATTCCTAATAGTGTTAACTATACGCATGTTTAATCTCCAGGAAGTCCAGCACATATAGTGCTGGACTTCGGTATGTTTAACCATTAGCCTGTTGGTAATCTCCAGAACGTTTTCAGTAGTGTCATGAAATCTGCATGCTAAATAGCAAATCTAGTTGCCAATGCTAGAATGTCAGTGCTGGTAACAAAATTTGTACGAATCCATGCTGTAAGGAACTAAGTGCTTTTAGCATAAATACGTCCACTTCTGGAAGGTCTACATAGCCAGACAATCTAGTGGCCACCATCTTTCAGTATAGTCCCTAACTTTCTCTCTATGAGGCCTGTCACCCAATAAAACTAAAATTTGCGGAAAAATTGGCAACTGTGTCGGTTACGGTCCCCTGATGACGATGAGCTAAGCAGCTAGGGCCGACAGCTGATCTGGATTACTGGATTTGATGATTATCCATCCGGCCATTCCCACAGTGCAGCAGCGCAGCGTGCGCTGGTATGGTGACCTGATTTGGTGCAGAAACACGGATTTCGACAAAACAGAGGGAAACGCCGATGATGAGCCGGTCATTTCCTGCAGGTTTCAATTTCAACTGGGCGAGTTTCAATTAACCTGGCTCGGTCTTTTTTCCGGTTGGTCCGTGTAGGCTCGATTCGATTGGGTGGCTCCTGGTGGTCAGTCTCATTTGTGTTTTATCATTGAGCATCATTTCCAGGATAAATAGGCGAATATTCATCCTAAAATTGGATTGCCCCGATGTTGCCGATTAATGAGGGATTAAAGTAATTCGACTACATTTTGCAAATTGCATGTAGTTCTGAAATGCAATAATTGGCAATTGCCAAACCAGAAATTGTAGTTCCGAATTGCAATAATTGGCAATTCGGAACTACAATTTCTGGCTCATCTGTGAAAACACGTGCACGTGTGTACCTACACAGGGAAATTGCGCTCTTTCTATACTGAGCCAGAAATTCTAGTTCCGAATTGCAAAATGCAGTCCCAGGGGCGTAGCTAGGAAATTTCTCTGGGGGGGGGGGGGNGGACCACCTCTCGTGGTGAAGAGAGCGGGGGGAGGGTGAGGAATGGAGGATCCCGTTTTTCTGGGGGGGGGGGCAGGCCCCCCCTAGCTACGCCCATGTGCAGTCCACTTGTGACCGGATCTATGAAAAGGGATCTTGTCTTTCGGAAGAAAATTTTCCTATACTTCTCGCAAATGCACTGGAAATTTTGACACATTTTTTACCCGAAAATCTAAAAAATTGAAGAAGGTTTTGCTCCTGAAGTCCCAATGCAAAACTTCTTCGGTTGAAAAGAAACGTGGTGTTAGTTTTCGTGAAAAGAAACGGAGCATTTGCTATAGGTATTTCCTCGTCTTTAAGGTCTCTTTCCACATGTTTCGGTCACAATTGAATCTCTCAGTTCAAAAATAACCCAACTTGGATTTTTCACGATTTTCTGGCTCCTTTTCTGACTGTAACGCAGTTTTTATCGTCTCAGGAAAAATTTCATTGCTGGGTGGTTTTCGAACTGAGGGATTCAATTAATGCAGATCGAACGTTGCAGATTTTCAATGGAAATGACGTCAATTTTAGGCAGGTTCTGATGTAAGCTGCAGTATTCTTGAATTTGCCGCCTAGAATGATTTCTCTTGAATGTAGAGGAAAAACATCTGTATTAGGAGGAAAGTTGCTCACATCAAACGGAAATCTGCTCGCAAATCAAGCGGTTCTATTCTTGATTCAAGAGGAAACCTTCTTGACGGCAAATTCAAGATCACTTCTGTTTTAACCAAGTCACATCCTTCCAAAGTTTCATGAGAAAACTATACAAGTTTGGTTCGCCGATAACACGAACTTAAGGTGATTCGATGGACGCCATATTTTGTGTCAGAACGGCATGTAATGTATCGCATCAATTAGTTCCATTTTTGCAGCTACTCGTAATTTGTCTCAAATTTTGAGATCGCAATTCTGTTGTCAGTAGACTAAAGCACTCACTTACCAATTCTAACAAATAAATTCAACGTAATAAAGGCGTGGTTTTTTTAGGGAGAAAATATCGCAATCGAGTGCAGTTTCGATATCAGTATCGAATGCGATGTTTTCTCTCTAAAAAAACCACGCCTTTATTACATTGAATTTGTCTGTAAAAATTGGCAAGTGAGAGTTTTAGTCTTCTGACAACAGAATTGCGAGAAAAATTATTAGAGTAGCTGAAAAAATAGAGCCAATCGATGCGATATATCGCACGTCGTTCTGACACAAAATATGGCGTCCATCGAATCACCTTAAATATGTTTTCTTGGTTGCATAGGGCAAGCTTTCATCTCGCTGCAACGATTGAAGAAAGAGCCGCACTGCAAGGTGCGGACGACGATGGGTGCCCGTGGGTACCTCCTGTTGTCTTTGACGATCCCATCGAAACAATTGCACTTCGCCGCCGCCCCGCCTCACCGCGAGGTCAACAACAACAACAGTATAAATACCCGACGCCGCGACGCACCGACTCGCAGCCACGCGTCGGACCCACGCGCCAATCCCCCCCCCTCTTGGACAATCCCTCTCCTCCCTTGAGTGCAGATAGTGGAAACGTCTACCGAGGCTACAATTTGATAGAGGTAACGGTTCCGCTAATACCATCTCGGGATCCAAGTTCCGAGGTTATTACTGCCGCGCAAAGGAAAAACGCCGTATGAGCCCTTTGACGTTGCGAAATTTCATCTGATGAGAATATTTTTGAGGGAGATAAATATTCAAGAAATTTAGTGAATATTTTTTTTCTGAAGTTTTCAGATACACTAGTTGGAATGTTGAAAAATTCAAAGGATATATTCGCAGGAAAAATTCACGAGTTTTCAAAAAAAATTCGGATTTTATCAGTGGAAATTAGGCAACGCCTGAATTTTCATGAGACTTTTTACCCCAGAATGATAGATTAACTCGTGCCTTGCAGTAACGATGAGTTTTCCCTCGTCCTACGAAAGGAAAATCTCGCAGAGTTGGGGCGTAACTGGAGGAAGCTCCTCTGGTTGGCAAAAATTAGCTAGTATCGTCCTGAATACTCCTCCCTCCCCCTCCCTCCATCGAGGGGGAGGTGCAAAAAGGAAGAGGCTGGTAATTATTCGAGGCCTCTTGCATTATCCCAGTAATTTCAAGACCACCCAGTCAGCAAATGATTTAAGTTGAGGCCATATCGTGCTTTTAAACGATGCAACTATTCGGCCTCTGAGACCACGCTAGGAAGTATCTTTTCACAATGAAGGCGATATTTATGCGTTAACGCTCTTCATCAAAGTATTTTCTCCAGCAGCTGAATTGCTCGCTAAACACGTCCACACTGATGATCAGCTTTGGAAATGATGCGACTATTCGGCCTTTGAAGCCACTCGCCGTCTCCAAATATGTCTCTCGATAGAGGAGGGCGCCAACAAGAGCAGCTTCTTTTTCGCAGAGAGACACGAGAACCAGAAGCCACGCCACCACCAGAACGGCGACTTCTTGTTTACAAATCAAGCTTCAAAGGGTGATTTCCTAACCGCATAGAGGCATCTGTTGTCCCCATATCAATGCCTCTTCATCTTCGTCCCCACTTTTCCTGCCCTTCTCTCTCCTTTTTTTCTCTTTTCCTCATCGTTTTCTCTCTCTTTTTTCCTCTTCTTGGGAGGCTTTCATACTCCATACTTATGTAAAAATGGAGACAAAAAAGAATTAATTTAATAATTATACATTAATAAGGAGAGATATAAGAAGAATTAACTTAATAATATTCAAGTACTGTAATAATAAATTGGCACTTAAATGGACGTATCAGAAAGGAACCAACCCACATCAATCTGAAACTGAGAAAAAGAGGTTTGAAGTTTTATTCCTCCATAAGATTTAGTGTAGAAAGTAACTTCAACGCTCTTTTCACAAACTAATATTTTTTTCGACTTTGAGTTTATGGCAGAGGGAAATATATAACTAGAGGAACTCGAAAATATCCTTAACTCAATTTTTTCGAAAATGTGGGTTGGTTCCTTCCCGATGAAGTGGGTCGAAATATACGTAAATATAGGGACAGAAAGGGGGGGGGGGGTAAAGGGGGTTTATAAAAGGGGTTTTATGAGCTGCGCCTCTGTGTAACCGTCCTACCCCCGACAACATTTTTGGTTAATTTCATCCCAGTATGCAAGCGAACGGCCTATCACGTCGCACGGACGACAAAAGCCAGAAGTTGACGGAAACAGGTGGAAGAACACTGCGTGGAGTAATCCATAAAACGGCGACAAAGAGGCGGGAAAGGGGGTCACACGCAGCGTCGGGGGGCGCTGCCCGCCTGCGTGGGAAATCGCCGGCGCCGCCCGGGGAAAGCGAGGGTTCCCGCCACGATCTGGCAGGGCGCGCCGGACCGGGCATCGGGTTATTGGACTACATTTTCATGCGAATCGTGGCGTGGAAAATGGTCAAACGCGACCACGCGCCGCGACCCGGACGCGTTAGACCGTG